ATCCGTTTCGTTGCTCCCCCTTTTTTCGGTTGTGTTTCACTTCCTGGAAGGCGCACCCCAATCCCTGTTTGTCATCTGCACTGGCACCGGAAACAACACTGAATAGCTTCCACCTTTGTCCGGAAACGTTCTGGGAAAGGTTTTGCGGTCAAAATACCATCCTCTTCTTTCCCCACCCTCACTTCTCTTCTCCACTTCTTGCACGTATTATTTTTTGATAAATTTCTTTCTGTTCCGTTCTCGTTGTAAAAATACGCTTTTTTTCATGGCGGGTGGGAGGCTTTACTGATGACTTCCTCTCCCAGTCGCATCCACCACTCTGCTTTGTGTTTACAGCTAAAGGATGAAACAAAAACATCGTACTAATCTGTCTTTTCACCACACATCGAAATTTCATCCATGCTGATTTTATATTTCTGGGTACTCATTATTTCCGCTGTAAATGAAATAGCGAGAGGGATTTTTTGCACTAAATGCCAAATACAAAACGCTATGCCTCTGTTTCCACATATCTCAGCTGTAGAATTGCGAGCGTCTAAATTTTTGAAGTACATGTCGCTGGGCGAAGCTCTTGTCGCTGTGCGAACCGTAGCCTCTCTGTGTGTCTTGTCTCAAAATCTCAGACCCAAACCAGAGGTTAATTTTTGCAACTCAGGCACAAACAAAAGCTGCTATCTCGAAATGTTGAAATAAAGATATTAATTATGATATGTATATAAAAATACAAAACTGTATTAAAAAATAGGACGAACAGGATTGTTCCGACCCATTTAGTCGCAGACGTTCTTCTTCAGCACCACAACCGGATCAGCTTACTGCTTGATAAAATAAATAATATGAAATAAATTTTTGTGAGAGATTAGGTTATAATTTCTAAAGGCAAAAAGAGCTGCGCAGCGTAATTTAAATAGCGTCGAGCAAGCTTTTAGAATGTGCCGTCTCCCGAGCTGTGACCCCCGAGACTGTATGTTCGAAATCATGGACCAAAAACCACAGTCTTGGATTTTTGAACTTCCAATTTGTTACACAGCGCCAAGTAAAAGCATTCATTTTCCAGCCTTATTCTACTTCGATGTTTTGCTTCAAATTCCAATGCGGCTAATTTTATAACTCCAGGAAAGAACGGAGAGCCACAGACTCAAAATTTGGTTGGTCATATAATACGAGAGTAAAACGGGGTTTCTTGAAGCCCACAAATCTGGAATACTGCTTCTGGCCTCTCATTACGGTACAGATCACAACTCAGAAATGGTGCAAGCTTTTGTTACTTTTTTATGCTCCACGCAGACCCGACGTGCACCTTAATGAAATCCTGTCTCGTGTTTCTAACGACTTATTCATTCTGTATGAATCTCCGAAACTCGCACTTTTAAAAAGCGTTTCGCCACACATGTTTTTAGCTACAAGCTTTTGCAGGTCACTAAGTTTCATTCTCGCAAAAACGTATAAAAATTAGTACGGTTTTTTACGTTTTGTGCTGTGTAGCAGTAGTACAAAACGCATATTGTCACGGGGTTGTCTGTGTGTG